GCAAATCTCAAAATGACATGACATGAGGTAATCTTGTTTCCTTGATGTTGCCACCAACTTATGGTCTCTTTTCCACATTAGGGTTTTTATCCAAAATTTTTACTCCCTAAGTTTAATGGCGTGAAAATATATAGCCTAAAGCGTGAAGTGTAGGGCTTTTTATTAAAAAAAGAATTATTCAATAATATGCTGTCATTGATGACATCTTAGGCAACAAAGATGTTTGTGTTTACGCTTTATCATAATAGTATACATAATTAAAAATAAGAACACACAAAAATTAGGTATATGACGCCAAAAAAATAAATGAAATCAAAGAAAGCACAACTCTAAGTGAGTGTTGCAATGCAGAACAGATAAGGCCTTTGCTCAGCTACATCATTACTACCCCTGAGGGTAATGAACGCTGATATTCTGAAAATGCATTTATGTCCTTCGCACGTCAGTAACAGCAGTTGGTAAATGTTTAAAGTATCGAAATATTCCAATGTGTCAAAACTATATTAGTTCAATTGTCACTATTAGGTACCTGATATGGAAGATTCAGAAGGCGAGCAACACGTGGTACCTGTTCCCGTGATCAACGACAGCGTGTACCAGAAGATGAGGCCGTTTGTCTGTACCATCTGCAACAAGAGATATAAACGACGAGATCATCTAAAAGTGCATTCCAAAACTCATACGAAAAAGACTAAAGTGTGCTCCGAGTGTGGGCTAGGTAAGTTATTTTTTTTTAATACTGCATTTAATTATTATACAACCTACTTTCATATTTAATTGACACTACGACACTGATGTCCATGGGCGTCGTTGACCACCTCTGTGTTCCCGCCGCTCGTTTGCCCCCTTATCATATAAAAAACTGACTTTCTTACTGACCACTTAATTCTGAGTGTATAACGAAAAATCGTCAATAGTGTTATACCATAAACCACTTACCACCAAGTTGCTTGCTTTGCTCCGTGCAAACTTGGGGATATCGCGATTTTAGTTGAAACACAATATGAAAATCGCTTATAACCTGTTCAAAGTCGGGTTAAATCTATAGTAGAAATATTTAAGGTTTTCTCTCGTCGTGTGCACAATGTTCATACTGGTTTTGTTAGAGCGCCGTTGGGCGACCGCCCAGGGCGCTAGGAAGGGGCGCATGTTACACATTACGTAACGGGTACGAGTTATGGGGGGAATTCGTATAGCTATCTATTTACTGTAGGTATGTGTTAAGAGGAGGGAGGGATTTAGTAGGGGGTAAAGTTGAGGTGGCACAAACTGCACATATAGGGGGAGGGATGAGGTGAATTCTGTCCGATGCGCGGTGTACTAGGTTGAGTAATTAATATGAACATTTGGAAGATATCATTTTGTATGTCATTCTTTGGGTTTTTTTAATCTAAAATAGTGTCTCTATTTTTAAACTTAAAATCCGGAATTGTTATATGCTAAGAAAGATAAGTAAAGTTAAATCTAAGATTTAAAATCTATATCTATACTATTATAATAAAGCGTAAACACACACTACTTCGTGGTGTAGGGTGTCAGCAATCACTGCATATTTTTGAATAATTATTTCTTTAATAAAAAGCTCTACACTTACGACACAATATTTTCACGCTATTAAATTCAGGGCGTAGATAAATCGGAAAAAACCTTCATCAGAGAGGGACCATAAACTACAAGGTGCCAACATTAAGAAAGTATGGTTAGGTTTTTATTAATTTAGAATTAGACAAATTTAAACAAAGTAAAGTTTTAATTTCATGCGGATAAAGTCACACGGGAACAGCTAGTTTAGATATAAATCATTACGCTGCACGTAAACAAAGAAAGAAGAGTGTAGAAAGGCATAGTAACTTATTGTATTTTGCTCGGGAATAGTAAAGAGTAGACACATAAGTTTGCCCTTAGGAAGTGCTGTTCTATAAATAAGCATGGTAACATTTCTTGTCCGATATTACGCTGTGTTTGGTGTTGTCCCTGCCAAGCGACAATTACGACCCTCCTCGGTGTACAATGGTCGTCCACAACATTTATTGTGTATTGAACCAACTTGTACATACTGGTTGGTAATAGAAAATATAGGTATTTAAAAAAATGTTACTGCGAAGTTTTTATTATATCCCAGTATTTTTTATTAATTTACTCATGGCGCGATTCGAACCTTCGATCACGTGATCTAAAAATCCATATCTCTAACAATTAAGCTACTGGTACTACATTAATTAATTATTAAAACTAATTTAGGATAAAAATATCTGTTGATTGTTTTTATTTGAAATAAATAAATACTTGGGTTTTATGTCCAATATTTAGTAGTATAACTCTGTAGATGAACTTTCTATAAGTAATCATCGCCTTTCGTATATTATATCAAAAAAACTATCCGTTCAAAAAACTACAATACATGTCTCTGGTAAATGGAAAACGGACAGATTATGTAAGGTTGGCTGTCCTAAAAAAGGAGTCGGCTGTCCCATTTAACGTGGGTCCGGGTCCCTCCCCTTTCGGCGGGTGAAATGTTCGCTCTTTTTTGGAATGGATCCCGCTGGGTGCGGGCGTAGGTAGACAGGGTAAACGGGGAGAGGGGGAAAGAAAAAATGCTGAATAAATTACAACACGTGTTAGGCTAACGAATGTTTTTAAAAGTGTATTTTATGAAAATTTTATTTTTTGTAGAATCCGAATTAATACACAGGTGATATGCTTTTGTGTATTACGTTTACAATGTTATGATTAACCTGTAAGAAAGTTGACAAAAAAGGCGGGAATAATCGCAATATGAAAAAAGACAAAGGAATAAAAAAATTCAAATGAAGAACGATGTTAATTGTTCACTCAGTGTCAGTTTTAGAAACCTTATTTTCCAGCATCAGAATAATCACATAAAACGTCTTTTATATTTTACTAGCTAACGCACCCGACTCCGTCCTCATGGAATTAAAAAAAAACATAATACACGTAGCCTTTATGTTCTTATAGATTATTCCCTACATACATATATGCCAAATTTCATCGAGATCCGTTCAGTCGCTTAGGCTACAAACATCCATCCATCTATCTAAACTTTCGCGTTTATAATTTTAGTAAGATATAAGAGATTCTGTAAATAAGAGATCGCATTATGTTTTATGCATTTTCAACGGTGCGAATTCGTGCAAAGGTATAAAAGACATCGAGTTCGTTACGCAAATCGAGCATCGAAAGACCGTGTGTGATGTGTTGGTAATTCGGAATACCGGTTAATGTGGTGGGTAAAGGGGGGAGTGACGTCACGATCTTTGTTGCGATATCGCGATATGTTGCGAAATGGAAACGTTATTTGTAGCCTCATAAGAGGCTGTTGTAATTTGAATTAGGCATAATACGTGTCTGTTGTACTTAGTATAGTGGTTTGTTTTTTATTCATCTTTTTATACTTTACTAATTAAAAGACAACAGTTTAGATGGATGGATGTTTGTTAGATTGAACCGCTTGAAAGTCTAAATGGATCTCGATGAAATTTGGTATAAATGTAGAGTGTAGCCTGAAAGAACACATTTTTGTTTTTTTAATTTCTCCTGGATGGATTTGCGAGTGAAAGCTAGTCGTTATATGAAATTAATGTTAAAATTAGGGCTGTTAATATATGTAACCAAATGCTGGTTGCGAAAAAACTACTCTACTAACCGGTTGTCAACCCTATAATTCTTTGAAAGCGTTAAAAAACGACGTAACCCGAACTACGTTTCTTATCACTTCGTTCCCGTGCCCGGTTATCATTAGGGGACCCAATACCCGTCTCCCCTATTATTTAACGTAGGGGAAATACGGAGTTCTTTTAAGAATTGACAATATGTACTTTTAAAAAATGTGTCGTCGCTTCAAAGAAATATAAAAGGGGACCTTACCGTGTACGCACACCTTTGGCACAACTGTTAAGTCTCACTTTAATTCCTATGAGTTTATGGAGGTGCGCACACTACTCGATTTTTAGATGTGCAAACAATTGAATTGGCCGCGAAACAATCGACAATCGCACAATAGTTGTGCGATAGTTTGATCAATGATGTGCCCGTGCTCTTAAGACTGAGTAAATGAGCTACATTTAGACGCAGATTGATTAGATTCTTCACTATTTAATTCTTAAATAGAAATCTAGATTCATGAATATGTAATAGGTGAATACGGCATTACCTTATTCCATTTTCTGTACCAAGGCAATTCCTTGATAGCACGTAGTCGTACGACTATCCTTACTAAAGCGAGTGAGGAAAATTATATTATTATTAAATACAGAGTTTATGAAAGGTAGGTAACATTGTAGTATATTAGTTATGCTGGGTTTCTGAAGTTTCCATTTATTTTATCCATTATCTAGTGATTCATTAGTTTGACCTAAGTTAAAACGAACTAAAGTTCATGTTAATATTTCGGAAACGCATTTCATGAAGTTATCGAATTAAAAACTAACGAATGGTTAAACCTAGCTGGGAAATTTGCCAGTCATGTACAACTAAACTTGGGACACCGACAGCCTATTACTGAAACGAATCTCAAACACATCGATTTCTAAGTACCGATTACAATCTGGTAGACGTTAAAATTTTGATGAATTTGTCTGTGGTCCTTAAATTTAAAATGCTAACATAGTTGAATGTCGTTTCAGAACTCGGCTGTAAGAAAGTTTATATTTTAAGTCAATAATATGATTGTAACAACGCAATTATACTGTGTATCGACACCTGCTAGAATGGCACACTTATCAGTAATGGCCTGTCCCACAAAATTTTAAAATGTCTGATAACAATCCAACGTGTAAAATATGTGATGGAATTATCGAATTTTGTTCCCTTATTTGACAGTGACGACATTTTTAAGCTATTTGAGCCTCTACTAGCCAGTGGTGAGACAGGCCCTAATACATCTGAATGACATTGACCGATGTCATAAGGTTGGGACGTGTATGCCGGTTATTTAGTGTTGCGCCGCTACTCATGCGGTACCAATTTCTTCTTAACTATACGGATGAAACACTGTAGGTTATTACCTAGTGGTGTAATGACCACTCCTATTTATTTTTAACGTGGGCCCGGTATGTTACCATCCTGTTCATTCTCTATGAAAAGACAGAGATAACTATATATCATTCTATAGGTATTTTATCTGTGGAAACTCTACTAAGAATAGGTTACAAATAAAGAGGCGAAAGCGTTATCAGTGACGTGCATAAAAGAAAGCTGGTATCTACCTATCTGTCTACCTTTTTATGGCAGCACGCATGAATACTGCACTTCGCATAGAAATAGAAAGGGTTTCTCCTACGATTCCATATAACAATTTGTACGGGTAAGAGGATGCGCACACCTGAAACGAAACTATCGTACAATTGCTTAGTCGTGCTTTGGTTCCTATAAGCTTATATAGTGCGCACTCTACTCGATTTTTAGTTGTGCAACTAAACAGTTGTACAGGCTGCGAAACAATCGCATTACAGTTGTGCGATAGTTTAATCAAAGGTGTACGCTCTGTCTAAATAATGATTTACAATTGTTTTTTATATTAATAGGGTATGGGCTACAATGAGAGAAGACTGGCATTACAAGGAAATCTTTAAAAATGACTGTAGTTTATTTAGGGGAATGCTTAATAAAAGACGGATTGCGTAAAAGGTGTCATAGTATAAGGGATGGATGACTGAAATTACGGCTGATAGATGGATTTGAAAGAGGCAAACGCCGACCCCACAACGTGGAAGGGAGATGTTGAATACGTCTTTTGTCTCATACGGATAAAAATAATGGAATAGATTTATTGCTGATTGCTCAGGGAGTTCCTATTATAGGTTAGGTTTTGCCCGCGTTACCGACTGCCCGGAATTAAAATAAAAATGTCTAATTGTAGCATATGTGCACTTCTACACTATGTTCTACATCTGTAAAAAAATCATTGAAATACTTTAAGGCGTTTGGAAGATACCAAATAACAAAAAAATACATTCGTATTTGTAGTATTACTAGCTTTCACCCGTGACTCCGTCTGCGTGGAATAAAAAAAACAAAATCGAGTAGCATATGTGTTCTTCCAAACTATCCTTTACATCTATGCCAAATTTCTTCGAGATCTGTTCAGCAGTTTAGGCTACAATCTCGAACAAACATCCATCCATCCATAAACTTTCGCAATTATAATATTAAGTAAGATTTACTATGAAAAATATACACTTATCCTCTACGAAAACGGATGGAACAGTACATAACGTGAACCTAGTAAATAGCTCGTGCTGAATTGCCGGAATCGTGAGGTTCCACCATTTAAAGGGGGGAGGGTAAGCCTTTACGGGGGGACCTCCTACCGACCCCCCAGCCAACGCCCGTGCGAACTATACGCCATCGAAAATGTGACAAATGTACATGAAGTTATGTTCACGCTAACATGAGAAATACTAAGAAAATACTTTTAGTGCTGTACTCAGAATGTGTTGTTACTTAAACAGATCCTTAGTGTCAATTTCTCATGTTATAACTTATATCTATACATATAATAAAATTCGAGTGTCTGCTTGTAAAATCAAAAGAAAAATTCCAGATTTCGAGATGATGTATTTGCGTTGCTTATAACGAAAATCGTATTTTTTTTGTCTGTCTGTCCGCAAGCCGCATTTGTTCCGGGTAATCTCTGAAATAGCTGGGATTTCGACCGGACTTACACTGAAGGGTAGCTGACGTAGACATATAGGCTACTTTTTAATCTTAATATTGCGTGGACGACGTCGCGGGCAACTGCTAGTTTTATATATAATCTTACATTTATTACGCAACTTTCATAACGCAACTTCAATTATATGATAGCTAAAATTGATATAGGCTTCAGCTGTAAAATCAATAACTAACGTACACAGGTCTCTGTAGCGTTAGGTCCGTCCCTTCCCCAGGGCCCCTTGACCGAACCCCACCACTTCGAACCTGACCTACTTACAATGTTTGATCGATGACCATTTTGTGCCACTACCTGCTTCACCGACCAGCCTTATAAAATATTCCTTAAAGCTTTATACTAAAACTAGGCTATTATTGCTATCCTTTAGCGACTGTAGAGTTCCACTGCCATTATTTTTATGATCTCTGATTTGAAAAAAAATTTGAATGTATGACAATCTGTCTTTAATGTTAAGTAGTTGAATTATAATAATTAGTTTTTTTTTTATAATTTCGCGCGGACAAATTCGCGAGCGACAGTTATATAGTTAATAGTTTTGCTTATTTCATATTTTTAGATTATATCGACTTCATATTGCAATGAGAAATCTCAATTGAAGATTATATAGTGCAAGTAAAGTTAATGTAAACCCTTGTAGTTAAAAATATATTTTATCTCCGTGGTTTGACGCACCGTAGTCGAGCTAAACGAGCCCGTACGACCCCAGCGACCTTACAGACCCACCCTTATTTTAGGCGATCCCCATGGGCTTGTGCTGAGGGAGCGAAGTAGGGGTAGGGGAGTAACCGTACTTAGGGGACGAATAGAGGGGAAGGGGATTTAGATCCCAATATATCCCCGACGCGACGGCAGGAGTGTTGGAAATGAGAATCTTGCTCTTTTTAACATCTCGTTATTTTAGAGAACTTTTACACATGTGCTTTAAAAATATAAGGGCGCATTATAAAAGCAGTATTTTTTTCAAACTGAATAAAAGGAATTACAATACATATTCATACAAGTGTGGTAACAGTGGACACCCGCTGTTAGGTTGACATTTTTTTATTTAACAATAAATAATAAGAATAAAATGGTCAGAATTTTCATTGGTTACCAGACGCACGCGACTCGATCCGAATTAAAAAATAACTTAATAGTCTATCGGCCTTACAAATAAACTTTGCTTATACTCAGTTTATTCCTAAGTTTAATTTTATAACGCGTTTACTTGTAAGGCTATATGTGATGGCCAAATTTCAGCGAGATCCGTTAAGCTGTTATGGAGATACGTTATAACATTAATCTGTACTTTCGCATTTATACACTTAAGAGCATTGATTCCGGGTCACTTAAAAAACCAAAATCTCGTGAACTAAGAATGCTTGCTTAATAAATATTATTATTTAAATTTAAGAAGTATTTAATCTTACTAATATTTTAAATGTGATAGTTTAGATGGATGTTTGTTAGAGTTTGTAGCTTAAACGGCTGAACGGATTTCGGTGAAATTTGGCATAGACTTAGAGGATAGTATGGAACAACACATAAGCTATTTTCTTTTGTTTTTTTCAATTCCACACAGACGGATTCGCGGGCGAAAGCTAGTTGTCTATAAAAACGTTATCAATAAGCTAGCATTCTTAGTTTACGATTATTAGTTATTTGTTTTAAATAGCCCGGATTCAATGCTCTTCAGTGTAATAGTAACATTTTATAAATACTGATTAGGTTTTTTTTTTTGCAGCGTTTCACTTCGAAGGCCAGCTGCTGTCGCACATAAACTCTGTGCATATTCAGGCGTACAAGCTGCAAGGCGACACCAACAGTATCGCCAGGCTGAAGATCATGCTTGGAAACAAAGCGGAGCTACTCATGACGGTCAGTTAACCTTTCGCCTGACGACAAACGTTCGGCAGATTATTATACTGTTGCTCGCGACTTCGTAAACGTATCATTTAAAAATATAACCTATGTTACTCACTGATAAAGTAGCTTTTTAATTGTGACAGAATTTGAACTCTTTATAATATTAGTATAGATTACATTTACGTTTTGTATAAATTAGTCAAATAATATAATATAGTAAATAATCTTGAAAAAAACGTCATGCGGGAGAGGGACCATAAACTACAAACTGCCAACATCAAGAATGCAAGGTTGCCATGGTACCGGTAATTGTTATCCAATATCAAAGGTCTTCATTGTCATATGAATGATATTTCAAATTGAAGATGTAAATAATAAATAAAGTTTTTAAATTTCAAATCCGTATTGAATTTGTCTTTTTGCAAACAATAATGTCGAAAAAGTGAAACGTTTGTAAACTTCATTGTTTCTCTCGTTTTCAGTCTAATGGTACAAACTTGTTGGTGCCAAGGGGCAAGAAAACTTCTGAGGAGAGGCCGCACGTGTGCCGCATCTGCAACCGCAGGTTCAAGAGGAAACAGCACCTGAAGGTGCACGGCAACGTGCATATGCGAGTCTCACAGCCCACTATATGGTGCTCGCTTTGTAACGAAGGTGAGTAACGACAGCATTCGAAGGGTTAACTCCTTTTATATCAATCATAATTCATACTAATATCATAAATGCGAAAGTGTAGATGGATGGATGTTTGTTAGAGCTTGTAGCCTAAACGGCTAAACGGATTTCGATGAAATATGGCATAGATGTAAAGGATAGTCTGGAAAAACACATAGGCTACTTACTGTTATTTTATTTTAATTCCATGGACGACGTCTCGTGCGAAAGCTAGTCAATACATAATTCTTTAAAAATCCGCTTCTACTTGCAATTTCTTAATACAAATGATGAAACTTGGTAATGTAGATGATAGATTTTTTTAATTCCTTCCAGATGTAGTCGCCAGGCGAAAGCTAGTGGCCAATAAATTATGTATCGAGAGATATGCCATAATGAAATTTGAATCCGCTTTTTAATTAAATTGTGTATTATTTAAATTTCATTTAAAACTATTGCTTTTGTAGGTTTCTACGCCAACAGTGAGTTCGAGCGTCACCGATGTTTGCCGTGGGAGCGAGACCCCGAGGCTGTGGCCAGTGCGGGGGGTGCGGGGGGCGCGGGGGGCGCCAACAGCGAGGCCAAAAAAGAAAATATATGCTCACAGGATTTCGTCGAAGTATGCCCCTTTAAACAATTTATATAATTGTAACTAACGATATTATTTTAAACACTCCAGTAATAAACTCGCTAGGAATGCGCGCGAATATCCAATCCTTCTAGTGACATTGACAGCTGTCAGTTAGAGATGTGACGTTTATGAGAATAATCTAGTGTTGCGCCAATTTTATAGTGCGGTACCAATTTTCTTCTTAACAGTAAAAACATAAGACACATAGAGTACAGTTGGTATTAGGAAACTTTTCACATGTGCATATTTCATCTCAGATTTTAGAATACTTGTGTCCTGTCCCACCAAATTGTAATTTGATAACAATCCAACGTGAAAAATATCGGATTTTGTTCCCCCTTACAGTGACGTCATTTTTAAGCTATCGAAGCCTCTATCA